ATCTGCTCTAAGTCGAGAAAATCTTGAGCAGAGCTAACACATGGAAACAGCCTGTGGGAGCACCAGGTAAATAGAATAATGTCCCATTATTAAACCTCAAACACAGCACAAATGGCACTTGCCCTTGCCTTGGCCTCTTAGCCAAGGTCCATTTCTACAGCCAATGACCCAGTTGCAGTCCAGGCTGCAGGGAGGATCACGCTGCTAATTCCCTTTGTCAGCACTGAATGAAAGGACAATAATAAGGAACGGTCAACTCGTGCCATTTCTTGGTGCTTGCAGTGTTTTTTTTTTTCTTCACTAAAGTGGTAAAACCTGTCGGTGAAGCAACTGGTAGCATACACTGCGCAATACAGCAGCCACAGAAGGCAGAGAGAGAAATGAGCCAGGAGCAGGAGAAACCAATAAAGAAAACCTCCTTGGTTGCCAGAATGGATGACATAGGCTTTCGTGTGCAGGTGGAGAATACCACCAGCCACTGCCTCTTTGATGTGGAATGGGAGAGGTGCTTGGGGAAAGTGACAGCTCAGATGGGTCTGCTGGGGCAGAGGTAACACTGCTTGTTACAAGCAAATGTCTTCAGCTGGGCTGTTTCCAATGATAAAAAAAATAAATAAATAAAAGGAAGAGATAGAGGTAGAGGTTAAAGTAAGGGGAAACAAGATGCTGAGTTGTTTCCCCTGTCATAAAAATAGGGACACACCAGTGAAATCATAGAAATTATAGAAATAATGGAATGGTTTGGGTTGGAAAAGACCTTAAGATCATCCTGTTAGAAGCCCCCTGCCATGGGCAGGGATGTCTCACGCTAGACCATGTCACCCAAGGCTCTGTCCAGCCTGGCCTTGAACACTGCCAGGGATGAAGCATTTACTACTTCTCTGTGCAACCTGTTCCAGTGCCTCATCACCCTCACAGTAAAGTACTTCTTCCTTATATCTAACCTGAACTTCCCTTGTTTCAGTTTGATCACCTCATTTCAGATGACTCTCATCTCACCACACCTTTTGCTCCACAGCATAGAAGAAAGTTATGATTTCATAGGTTTCATGTTTTCCAGGTTCAGGCATCTATTCCCAGCCCCAGTCAGTTCATGCTGCCTCTTCCAGGTGTTCAGGACCTCAGCCTGAGGATCACATTCAGCCCATGCAACAATGCCTGGGATGGCAAGGCCTAACTGGCCCTCTGAGAACTAGTCCAAAGCCCTTGGCCAGTTGCAAATGGGTTGCCATTTATCCAGTCTGGCAGAATCTCCAAAACTGCTGCAGAGACAACAGCGTGAATGTCTGTACTCTACAGCAGCATGAGATGTCAGAGGAATCATAATTCATCTTCATTTCCCTTTCCAACATAAGATTGAAGTATATGGTCCTTTTCACATGGTAGGACAAAACTAAATTCTAATTACTCTGCAAATTGTGGTAGGAATGGTTTCTTTATCTCATACCCATATTACTTTTTTTTATTCCTATTAAGAAACAAGGAAAGTTTTGGGGCTTCCCAGATGTGGTAAGTGGGATGTGGGGAATGCATTCTGGCATAGATCCCATTCATAGTGCTCAAGTCCAGGAGGAAACAATTGCAGTTCTTGCCTGTTAAAGCTTTTGAAAAACCATTCCTACACAAATACTACAAGCCCAGGGCATTTTCAACTCTGTACCTATCACCCAACTTCAGAAGATCAGTCAGTCTGGCAGGTTTTTGGAAAAATCAGATGTAGATGTTTCTGTCGGTTTTGTTCTTTGTACACTTTACCAAAGTACTTGGGCCAGACAAAACCAAACCAAAAAAAAACCTCCACCAACAAAAGAGAAGACTGTGAATGGCAAGAGTTATATCTGTTCAGTGCTGACTGCACAATCCTCCCCTTTCTTGTACCACTGAGCTTGTAACATCATCTTCCCTCAGTACTGGAAATCTAGCAGTCCTTGGAGGGACAGGAACATGACAAGACACATTAAAGAAATGACCAAAACCATAGGTGTGACTTCCAATATCTGCTTCCTCAGAACTGAATGAAGCTATAAGGAAACCACCACCCTTTCCTCTCTGGTGGATGAATGCTCCCATTTGAAACCCTTCAGGTTCATGAATGACAAATACAGTTTATCATATGGCTCTGAGACCTATCATATGGCTCTGCAAATTACTGTATCACACCAATAGGTGTGATATGAACACACAAACATATCAGTGGCACCACTACAGAGAAGTATGAAACTTGTTGGTTTCTATTTTTTTAACCCACATGTTAGCTCAGGCTCAACCCCACCTTCTCCATGTCATGACAAGCAAAGAAATAGCAAATTCTGTGGAGCATAACACTTCCACTTTTCCTGCAACCAGCCAGAAGGATGTTGCACAGAGTATATAGCACATTATAGAGAGGAAAGGGTTTAAGTATTGTCAGGTGGAAAGACATGCTATTTAGACTGAGGGGGTTAACATGCAACGTGTGTTTGCAGATAGTTATCCAGAAAAGCAAGTCCCAATAGCATATGTTGAATTCATGCTGAATTTGTACTTGAAAGTATCCCAGAGAGCATAGGAACTCAGCTGCAGACCTCTCCCAAGCGCAGATTCTGGCATCTAAAGAAAACGGAGAGAGACCATGGCCTATTTCCCCTACCCTTCCTCCCCCACCCCACCCCGTCTAGAAACAGTAACTTCTGGATGCTTCAAGCCAAGCTTGACCATACCTCCTCCACCCCTAAATCCACACCCCATCTCCCATTCCCTTTGGTCCATTCCTCCTTTGGGCTTGCAAAAGCTTGATGTTTGTCTTACCTAATGTCACTGTGAATGCTCATCTTGTTACACCAAGGGCTACTGTGCACACGCGGTAGTGATGTCTGCAGATGTGTGGGGCCTGACAAAACAAGCAGACATACAGCAGACACAAGTTGCTTGTCTGGGAAGAGCTTCAGCAAAGGCATGGCACACATGGGATAGCTTCACCCCTATTACTGCACATGGAAATGCAAATCCAGATATCCACATCTTAAATTTTCATGGCTTTGACCTGCCCACCTTGTATTAGTTGGCTGTTGGCATTCAGAAAAGCCTGTGAAACACATGATGCCTAGGTGAGGGGACACTGTTGACTATGGTGTGAGGACCTCAGTCACACTATGGTGTGAGTTCCTTAGTATGTCAAACTGGCAGCATGCTTTATTCTTCTGATCCCATGATGAGACTTTTCATATCATGAGTTTCCTATTGCAACCTGCCTTGTAAAAACCACACACCCTAAAGGAAGAAGTTGCTGGAGGCATGCAGAAAGACCAGATGGGTGGATAGAGCTGGCTCTCTGTCACACACACAGAGGCTTAGTGAGCTAACTTCATCCACAAAAAGCTACAGAAAACATGATGAATCTTATCAACATGAAATGTTCTTCTGCCTTTACCTATCACTTCTACTCTGTCTTCTTGTCCAGATGCAAGGTGGAAATATCCTAAAGAGCTAGTAATCTGTTCAGTGGAAGCTGAGCTCTCCCATGGCCTCACCATACCCTGACATTAGGGGGTTACCCTGACATTACGGATTAACTTTACTTGCTTAAATGAGCATCTTGCCCACATGCAACATTGCTCCCGAACAGGAGCAGATAACCACACTTCTGTTCCCTTGACACTCACTGTTACCCCCTCTCATACCTGGCTTGACAGGTATGGCAGCAGGGATGAAGCCAGTTGCTGGCAGGGTACCAGTGTTCCTCCAGGGCCACAGTCACAGCCTATGTGGCCTGTTTGGTTGCTTTTCTTTACTTTGCTGTCTGGCCAACAACATTTCCAGATAGAGAGTTAGGAAGGAATGCTCCTGTGGGCAAGCTGATGCTGCAGAACCCCACTGCCTCCATGTGATGCATCTGATGTTGGCCCTTGCCTGTCAGTCTCCTAGGCTAGAGAGCAATTTATACAGAATGTGTTTGCTCTCTCTGGACAAATAATGTTTTGCCATTCATGAGTCACTTTATACCCAACTTCTTAGGGTGCTCCCCTGTAGTTGACTCACGTGAGTGTGTTTTAGATGCAGGTGTTTTTGGCTACTGGATCTCAGATAAGGAATTCTCAGAGTGTTCAGGCAGCTGCTCTCTGGCAGGTGGGCAGTCACCTCTGAACAGGTTGGGGGCAGAGGATGCTTCATCACAGCTGAACTCTGGTCCACAGATTCTGCTTTGGGACCACATACTCCAGTATTTTGTGTACACTTGAGTATCCCTCACTCCAATAAACTCTGCTGGGAGACCAGGGAAGGGCAAATGGACAGTGCAGCTCAATGTAAATGCCAGTCCTTCTGCAGGGTAAGCAAATACATTTTAATATCCCTGGATATTATATTTATGCAAATCATCAAGAAGCACTTGTTTAGAATAATACGTATTCTAACCCATAGGTATTAAATATACTTAGGCTTATTCTGTCCTTGGGGAAGAAAAATCTGTATTTTCCATCAGTGGCAAAATTCCCCTGGGATTGTCTGGGCACAATGTCTTTCCCCACCAGTATCATCTTTGCTGCTGTTTCATCCACACCTCTGTTTTTAAGCAGGTTGCTATAGTCTAGAAATTAGACCAGACACATATCAATAACACCAGAGGGAAAGAATTATCTGAAAAATAGCAAGGATTTTTAATCTGTGTAGACTTCAAAGAGCATCAGCTTTGTCTTTCAAATAAAGGCAACCCAGTGTCCTCCTCATTTAAGTGGGAAAGGCGTTGTTTCCCAGGTTTTTTATCAGTATCTGCTTATCTCTTTCTGGGCCTATGCAAAGGCAGGCTTGATTCCTTGCAGTATCAGATCACCAACTCTATCACAATATGCATCACATTTTAACCCAAATGCTTTCTGACACACTTCTTCCCCCTTCACGCATGTCTCAAGCACATCCCCGCTTAGTATTGCCCATAGCATCCACGAGACAACTACACCAGCCAATTCTCTGCAAATTTCAAGGATCTATTTTTAGAGCTCTTTAAGATTACAAGAAATGCTGACCTCAAAAAACTGTGAAACACAAACTCCTTATTTCATCTTCCTTGCCTGCTCTCTCTCCATGGAAGCAAACCACCACCATCTGGCCAACTTCCTCCGGAGTCACCACCAAAACAGCGCTAAATCTTCAGCATTTCTGCTCCTTAGTATATTCCCAAAAGTTTTGTCCATGACAACCTCACATGTCCGATTTCCATTCCCCAGTGCCGCCAACTTTGGTGACTTTTCTCTGTGCAGCACGGGGAGGGGATGCTGTGACTCACCCGGCCTCATGATGAATGACCCCTGCCAACCAGCTGTTTGTTTGAGTGACTGCATTGTTGAAGTCCCGTTGCCACATTTGTAACTATACTTTTTTTTTTTTTTTTATGACAACCAGAAGTTCAATTTTATAAACAGATGCTGTTGTGGGCCTCTATTACTCAGCTGGATCAGCGTCAGTCGTTTTTCCAGCCTGCGGTCTCTGCACTGCACACTGAGTCAGATGCAGCCCTGCACAGACTCCTTTGACTCGCTGGTTTCCTCCCAGCGACTCTTGACTCGCTGCCAACAAAGCAGGGCGTAGCTCATTAATTTTTCTTCCACCCCCCTCACCCCCCCCTTCTCTCTCTCTTTAAAGGCAGACTGATTCATAGTAACTCCTTTAAAACAGAGGGGAGCGACACCACCCTCCCACACCACCGGAGGAAACTTAAACCACCACCAGGTCACTCCCTTCACTACAACTCCGTGCTCCAGGACATTAGCACTGCAGCCCAGCACGCTCCTGCTTCTACAGGTGCCAGCCCACACGGTAAGATCTGCTCTCCGAAAATCCTCAGCAACTTTTCTCCTTTCTCAGAGGCTGCTCCCCTCGCTCAACAGCTTCTGCCTGCTTTTCTCCTCTACTCTGCAACATCTCTTCAGCTTGGCACATGAACTGGCAATGAGATGCACCTTAACCTTTCAGCCTCTGCTTTGAAATCCAGCTGCGTTATGGAGTAAAGTGATGCTGCAAGGCACCTGATTGCAACCCCAGAGTGCTGACAGCAGTGATGTTGTTTTCACCTCCAGGGCATGTGCAGCGAGGGGGCAGGCAAAGGCTGCCCAGCCTGGGCCAGCCCTGGCATAGGAGCTGCCATGCTTTTGGAGTAGCATTGTTTACAAACGTGAGAAGACGCCTGCTTGAAATGAGGGCTGCTGTTTCAGCATTTCTGTCTCTTACTCACATTTTTCTGCGTGTCTCTCTCCTCTCCATTTGTAGTTTGCCAAGCTTTACTTTAAAACAAAAATCATTCCAATCCATGTGAAGTATGAGAGTCTCCAAAGCTGCAGATTTTGGGGTACAGTGGGGAGGAGCTCTCATTTTCTATTGGGGTCCCAGCTCTTGAGAGTGAAGCTAAGCTCCAGCTCTTCAGCAAAACCACACGATAGGCATAAAGACATGCTATGCCTTCCTTGGCAGCACAGACCCCAGAGTGGGGAGCACTGAGAGGTGAAGTGAGGAAGCAGGGGGAATTGTGAAGAGCACCACGGGCTGCATGACAGGATTTGGGGAGGGAGGCACTGGTGGGAAGTGTAGGATTGCAGGGACTGGCAATTTTCCCTATTCACCTGCCTTTTTCCAAACAACCACCCCTCTCTCTTCTTCACCAGTTCTCTCACTTCATCTGTCTGCTATGGTTTGCATCCTGTGGTCAAATCTGAACTATTTTTGAGGTCTGAGAAAGGGAGTGAAGAAAGCCAGTTTGTTGGCACCAGTCTTTGGTTCCTGTTGCAGGAACCCAGCCCACCCCTGCACAGTTTCATGGGTCTGGAAGAAGTTGAAGCAGTGTTTAGCTGAGTCTGGCCAGGAATGGCTGGGGCTCAGGCTGGTGCTGGGGACAGTTACTGTATGAATGGCCAAGAACATGAGCTGACCTTAACCTTATGGCAGAAGGATGGATTTTGTGCATTTCAAGTCCCCTCTGACTTGTGGCTTGGTCATGCAGGGATGCTTCCTGCCTGAGAAATATATGGTTTTGAGTGGTAGGGAAACTGATTGAGGCAACGAGTGTTTCCAGGGCAGTCAGCAATCCATCTGGGTAGAAAGTGTTCTCGGAAGTTGTCATTTAACATGGTTAACAATGAAATCAGTTTGGAAAAATTAATAATACAGAAAAAAATGCTGTGGCGACAGAGCAACTTTCACTCAAAGGCTTTGAATTCCTCAAGGCACCTCTGAGAGCAGCTTTGCCCTGGAACTGCCCACTTGACATTTCTGGACAGAGTAGGATTCTTTTCTGAGCAAACAGACAAGAGTGAGCTGGGTATGAAAAGTGGAAAACTTGGAGCCCATTAGTTATTGTTCCTATGATAACAGGGGTTTAAGTCAGTCAAATGCCTCCACCCAGCCCACCTCACACAGCTGCCAAACCTGGGGACTCTGTGCACTGAAAGAGTGCTGCCTCAATGGCAGCTTATTTCTATTTGTTCCTTTGTGGATCAGCCTAGGGAAAGGATGAAAACTGAGGCATCTTACTACCACTAAGTGCTGTGCCTGGAAGCACACCCTGAAATGCAGCTCGTTCATGCAAGGCACTACACACCCACCTAAGGAGTTCCTCCCAGTAGGCTCCGGTGGAAGCTCCCTCCAGCTATGACTAACCATTCAAACATGAGGCACACGGCCTGAGACATTCATCCAGGCTCACCCTCGTGTGAGAGCAGGGCATCCACAATGGGCACGTGCCACTCTGAGGCAGATATCAGAGAGATGGAATCATGCCACACCCCAGAGACACGTTATTGAAGGAGGGACTTGGGATCTTGTGGAGAAACACCCCATTTTGGAGCTGGTGCCTCAGAGCTGCAGGGCTCCTAGTGCTCCACAGTACTCTGCTGAGGACAGAGAGCCCTGGCTTGGAAAACCGGCCCTTCTGGCCCAGCCAGTGGTCTTTGAATTGTGCAGTGTGCGAGCAATGCAAGTGCATGGAGGAATTACTGTTTTGTGGCCTGGGGTGGAACAGAGGTTGCATTTTGAAACAGTCTGAGGAGATCTGCTGATAACAGCTACTGTGGTTGTGGTAAAAGGCCCACCTCAGGGCCTTCTTTATGATGAGATGGGGGAGATCTGCTGCAAGCACTAATCCTTCTCTCATTATCCTCCTAGCTGTAAGGCTGGCAGATGTCACTCTGCCAGCCAGAAGTGGGAGGGGTACAGCGTTCTTCTATAGCCCTGTCTGCTCCCATGGGGCTTCACAGGCTTCATCAATCCCATGTAGCAGCCATACACCCCTTCCACAGCACATTCCACTTGCTTACCCTCCCAGTTGCCTTTGGCTGCTGGATGGGTGCTCTATTCTTAATGGGGTGCTACACTTGATGGGGATACACTTAATGGGAATAGGGCAGGCAGCTGATACGGGCCTGGGATTTGCCCTTGGACACTTGAGTGTCCCACAAGGCAAGCAATAGCATTACAAGCCCCCTTTGATCTCAATGGGCTCTTGTGCCTGTGCTCTTCAGCAGGGAGGTGACAGCACTGTCGCCCAACACAGGGTGCAGGGTGTGGCACTCCCAATTCTTTTCCTTCCTCCTGTTCTCCTGCAAAAAAAAGCAAGGAAAAAGGACCAAAATATGAGATTTCTTTACCCTTCCTTCAAGGCAGGGAGGAGTAAGAGACCCAGAGGCGTTCTTTTACACCTCCAAAAGGGAGGGCAAGGGATTCCTATCTCCCCATCTGAAGATGGATGCTTAATATTTCATGGGTCTTTTCTACTGAGGCAAAGCTCCTCTCCAAGGCCCTGCTCTTTTGACAGCACCTGCTAGTACTGATCACTAACTGGTAGCCACAGTGCTGTAATAGTGATGCTGATTAAATGTGCTGAAGCACCAGCTCAAATGTGACTGCAGATGCTCAGCCAGAGCCAGTCTACACCCAGTCAACCCAGAGCATGATATGGGGACCAGTAGCAGTCCTCCATATAAACTGCCCAGAGGGAAATCTATAGTGGCTGCTTTCTTAAATCTGCATTCTTCTGTCAGACTGCAGGCAGGGCAGCAAAGCAGCACGTCCTGGGTCTGCCATCTGGAGCATGATTTCTTCCAACCCCACTGGGAGGATTTTGCACAGTACCTCCTTAGTTAGAACAGCTGGACATTGAAAAAAGGAAACACCAGCCAAATTTGCAACCCCACACATCCTCCTCCCAAACTGTTTGCAGTAGGGAAGAGACTACATGGAAGCTGCTGCCTAAGACCAAACGTAGCCCGTGCCTTGTCATGGTAGGGAGAGACAGGTTAGAACAATTTAGCTCCAGAACCCATGTTGCCCAAGGGAGTGACCAGTTTACTAAGCTCATGATTAAGATCTATCTCCTTTCCCCTGTGAAAACCAGTCTGTACTGCAGGCATAGAGAGACATCCATGATGGGAGCCCAGGGACAGATCCTGGCCTAGGTCAGCCCCAGCCACGCACTGAAATGCAATAAACTTAATGATCATTGGAGTGGCTGATAGCAGGTGAGCTTGTCTGAAGGCTGAGCTCTTGCTATATGGGGCCACCTGGCAACACATTTGGATTAGAGGAAATGCTGGGCAATCTTGGCTGCCCTCTTGCCCTAGAAGGTCTCAGGGAGGGGAGTTGCAAAAGCAGCTGCCACGAACGGGCCCAGAGTCCACATTCTTCTCATTCCAGAGAGACACTTCCCCTACGGGCTCCAGCAGCCCCCTCCAGAAAGGACAGTGAGAGCAATGGGAGCAAGACAGGGGAGCTGCAAAGTGCTCAGGGCTCGGAGCAGGCTGGTCAGGGCATTACTGAAGATCAGGTCCAGGAATGTGGACCACTGCTGAAGGAAAGCTGGGTTCTGAGGCTGGCACAGTGTCTGTTGTGCAGGTTCAGGCAGCTGAGACAACTGTTTGCTAGCTGGCCTCCAGCAGCTGCAGCCCAGCCAGTGTCTTGTGCCCTGACAAAAGAAGCTCTTGATGCCTTGTGGAAAGCCATTTCTGTATGCAACATGAGCTAGAATGACCCTTACACTGTTCTGCAAGACCCTACTAATCACAGGTGTAAAGAAGCCCTCTTGAAACCAGACGAGTCATTTTACCTCATGACCACCTTTATCCCACACCTCACAGAGCACTGATCAACTCCAGGCTGCACAGCATCCTCTTCTGCTTTATACTCATGCTCCTGCTCCACCCAGTCCATCACTTGTGCACTGTGGTTTGAAAGAAGGAACTATCACACAATTTTGCAATTTAAACCCGCACAGTCTTTTGTAAACTGGATTGCAGGGACACCCTGAAGGTAGACTGACCTAAAAGCTCAGACTCTTTAGATGCCTTAGTTGCATTGACTTCAGTGTCTCATAGTCTGTACTGACATATTCAGAGGTTTTGCAGTCTTGAGAGAGAGGGATGCTATCTGATAAGGAGCCATTTCAGAGTTAGTCCTTTGAAACAAAAAGGGAAGATCTTTATGAAACTATGTTAATCAGAGAACTGCAGTTTTAATTAAAAAATGCAGCCAAAAGCACAGTTGATGTGGGCTTCGCAGGCCTTCTACCTCTATCTAAAGGCTGTTGCAGGAAGGAAAAGCAGGAAGTCCCACCAGAAATGATCTGTGCACTTTTAGTTCACACCACACTGTAA